CATTTAGAAGGCTTTGGATGGGAAGCTGAAAATAGTCTAAGGGGCTGTTTGGCAACTTCTGAATGGGTAAGTGCTGAACCAGTAAGAGGTCTGAATCATTAAGTGCTGAACCAGTAAGAGGTCTGAACCATTAAGAGCTAGTATATTGCTTAACTATTCAGAGGCAAATGTCTGATCAATTCAGATAACAGCTCTTAACCATTCAGACTCTGTATAATACTTAACCATTCAGAGGCAAATCTCTTAACCATTCAGACATCTGAACCATTAAGAGGCTGAAACAAACAGTCTGAATCATTAAGTGCTGAATCATTCAGACATCTGAACCATTAAGAGGCTGAAACAAACAGCCCCTAAAACTAACAGTCATCATATTTCCTTAAAATGGCTTATTAAAAAAATAACTCAGAAGAAAAAGGTGTACCTCATAAAGTATGATAGCAAAAGAGTACACATCAACACTTCTACCGAATATATCATCCCTATAAATCTCAGGTGCCACATAGTAACCTACAATTCACAATATAACACTCAATCTCCTATGTGTTGCAGTAAATAGGCATGTGTCACTTTATTACATCTATTCAGGTGTAAACTGAACATCTGTTACAAATTGGAATGTCACATTTTGGTCTATCCGAACTGAAGACTGTATTCTTAATAACATACTTGAACGGTCATAAGCATGTGGCTGCACCAATTTTGCTTTCTCAGGAGAAATTTTTGACAGCCTAAGCAAACCAAATCCTGCAACTTTCAAGAGACCTCCATCGTCCAGCAAAATATTTCTGGCACCTTACCAAAAGTTGAATATTACTAACAGCGCAAATCCCAATGAGTGCAGATTATAACAGCAATTATACACCTAATAAACTCAAGTATTTAGTTTCCTTACTTTGGCTGTAAACTACAATGGATAATTGGGTCTGGTTTACATTCATGAAGATAATTCATGCCCCTGAAAATTAGAAGACAAATATCAAGTAGCAGAGCATGCAGAAAATGGGCAGCTACAGCAATGTGAACAATTACTACGCATGCTGAATAAGATCAGAAAATGATCCAAGAGTTGATACTTATTTAAGTACATCATTCAGGAAACAACACTTGCCTGGCAATATCCAGGGCAAATCTTAGAGATTTAGAAGGAGATAGACGCCCTTTCTTTTGAAGATAGGTACCCAGGTCACCCTGAAAAATTGCCACGGTAAATTTTATGTTGATGACATTTCATTTGTGAAGCTAAGGATTTTTTTTGTCAACTGTAGACAATAGACATGAATTATTGCTCGATATAAGAAAATAAAAGGACAAAAAATACATCAAAACATAGAATCAGAGAATGATTACAGAAGTTAAATATCTTAGGCTAATCGAACTATTTAGCCCATCTAAAGTGAGTCTGCAGTATCAGAAGCTAGATGTGCAAAATAAATGTTGGATAAATTCATATAGATTTATGGATTGATAAGAGGGCACACACGAGGGGAGGAATGGGATTTGATGGGTTAGGGAGAGAGATTCCTACTCTTGGGTGATACTCAGAAACAATCATCATCGGAATGTTTTGAGTGACAGCACCAACAAACTGAACAACATTAGGGTGTCGTACTTTCTCTAACAACATTAGTTCATGTTTGAAAGCATTTCTGTATGCAAAGACAACGAATTAAAGAAAAAAAGTTAGGCATTAAAGTTTAGAACACTTTATGAAAAAGAAATAAACAAGAAATTATGAGAGGGCTGATAATTTTGTCTTAAACAGTAAATTGTATTTTCTTTTTCAGTGGCCACAGTTTTATGAACATTTAAGCGCTGCTGAATGCATACATGCTTTCAGGGTCTGAATAGCAATCCTTATCGAGAATCTTCACTGAAACCTTTGTACCATTCCATTTAGCAACTTGATAAGATCCCTGCACAATGTAAATAAAAGAAACATACAAAAAAACAGTGATTGTGTCATGTAGAGATCCTCAGATCCATTCAGGATGAAATAACTAAAATAGTCCAATACTACTTTCTCTTTTCCAACACTGATGAACAAATATAACAAGTAAACATGGGCATATAAGTTGGGGGAGTTTTTGCCCAGTATCACAAACCTAACTAAGAATCTAAGATGGATGTTCAAAATAGCTAAGTTCTTGCACACAGCTTTAGATATTTAAAGAACTAGATATTAGTCAATAGTTTATTGGAACGAATCACAGCGAATTATAACCCCAAATACCATTGCATTCTAGTGATAATGAACGCTTTTTCAGTACATCAGAAGGGTGATTCTTTTGTAGGCATTAGGCAAAGGGTCCTTGGCTATGGATAATGTGGATGACTATACATTTCTACGATGGAAACAGAACTTAACAAATGAATTCCAGTAGAATTGAAATTCTTCATGAACTTCTGTCCCACGTGGGATCAAGATACGCATGTTAGACCGATGTATTGTAGGGTATATATGCCATGTAGAATTATTACGCAGTATGCTTCATGGATAGTATAAATTGAAAGAACATAAGATCTTGCCTTGATACCATCACTTCTGCGAATCTGAAGTTCCAGGGGATTGAGCTCATACTCTGGAACTTCCCGCGGATTAGCAACAGCCATTGGTGTCTTTCTGGTTTTCTAGCAAATTGGCAATCACTCCATAAGCACCAAAAAACTAAATAGTCTGAATGTGAAATTTGAAACTGAACCCACTTACTGGAACTTTGGCCCCACGGGCCTTCAAAATACTATACACTTCAGAATTTCCATAATACTTAGCATCAGCTGCTGCCTGCCATATTGTTTAAAGAGCTAAGGATTCTGACAGAAACCAGTTCCAAAAAAGGATTTAGAAAGAATAAGAAAATAATCTAAGAGAAGCCCTTAAGCAAGAATCCCGCCTTAGAGGACTTCTATTAGCCTGTAAAATCTCCCAATAATAACTTACTCATAACCTCCCACTAAGTGGCAAAAACACACTCCAAACATCCCACTTACAAATTATGTATAACTCACTCCGAACTTCTCATTAAGTGAGATTAAATCATTATTTAATGATAAATAAACATACTCAACAATATATTAAATAGCAGAATTAATCAACAGAGCAAATCATTACTCCCCCCCTCCCCTATAAATTTGTCTTGTCCTCAAGGCAAAATGTCTTGGTATCAGGTGGTTTTGGTAAGGGTGGCAGGAAAACAATATAAGAATCGGCTTTGAGCAAACTATATCTGCAAGACTGCAACAACATCTCCATCGTTGGAAAGTAACTGCTGCTATGATAGCACACAAGGTATTATAAGAGATTGTTGAACTCATTGTGGCAGATGTAGTTGTGTCCTCGCAGCCATAAAGTATTGGGGATCGGTTGTTAGCTCTCATAAAAATCTTAAGTGGGGAAAATAATGTATGGGGCTGTTTATTGACACTTTTGTTATAGGAGAGAGAAGATACTTTGTACACGAACAACAACATTACCCTGGTGCCTCAAAGGCTCCTGCCCATTACGGGGTAGGGGGGGTCGGATGTACGCAGTCGAACTCCTACGTTTAAAACATCGAGCGGCTATTTCTGGACGACCCATGATGAGCGTTGAAAGTTGCATTGACTAACTGCTACTTCACTATTGAAAGAAGCCCATACAATTTAAAGAGTCATTTTGCTTTATTCCATCATACCCCACAGCCAAAAGTAGTGACTCTTTGGCCCCGTCATAGATAATGGAAGTAGAAGATATCCTGTACAAAGGCTCCAAAGTTACATTTGTCTCATCATTGACTTCAAAAGCTTCTGGTACTATTCTTTTTTCTACATCACCCTCCATGGGAGAAAATGGACAAGGACAACGATGGAGCATATTTAAATTTTCACCACAGGATAACACATGGTTCCCTCAAATTATAGGGCTATGAAAGCCTTTTTAAACTGCGCTTTAGACTTAACAGCCTGGTATCTCTGCTTCTGGATTTTCTTCCCTCCAACCTCTAGATGAAATCAATTAGCTATGACTCCTCTGCAAGTTGGCACATGTTGAAAAGCCTTGCCTCGAACTTCGCATGGTGCAACTTTCGAATTAATGACATCAAGACAAGCTATAATGCAGAGTAATATGTGTTGTTTGTAAGGGGAATAACAGTTGGATGGGAAATTGTATAGAGAAAATGGATAAACAAAACTTGTGCGGAAGGAACCCTTAAAGATCTTATGTCTCTCATACCAAATGATAGAAACCAGTTCAACTGAATACGATTTAGAAAAAATAAGGATATAATGTAATAAAATCCCTTAAGCAAGAATCTCGCACAATTAAATAATTACTAAATGATAAATAAACAGACTCAACAACTAATTAAATAACTAATTTATGACTTTATCAATCGGCTTGGAACCAATAAAATTCATAATTTGATGTAAGTAGCAATAATAACACATTTTCAATTCAAGTAAAATCCTGAATGGTCCTTGTTTTTTGGTGCTTTATAGTGATGCAGTGGAAGTTGGGCTGCAGTAATCTCACCAGTTTGTCATTTCCTACATTTCTCCACAATTAAATTAAAGAACTTTGGGGCGGTGACTAGTAACTATCTAAGTTGCTCCTCCTCGCCATTTTCCTTATTCTTATTGGCACGAGGTGATCCAGGTTTGCAGGACTAAAACTCGGCGTTTTAGACCCCGCCCATAGAGCCCCAGAGAAGGTAAATCTAGGTGCATTCTCAACTAATGTATGAATCTATTTACCAATGTTGACTATGGGGGTGTTTGGGTATAGCATTTTGCCAAGCAATATGCTATTTTTTAGCAATATGACTTATCAAAGTGTGCTTTCATGTGTATGGTAAATAAGTAATCTGTACTAGCAATACCTTGTCCAAAATGCTCAAAAGAAGAGCTGTATACATTAGCATGTTCTGATTCACATACCACTAATCCTACATAATACCTTTTTCGGAAACTGGCGAATGTAAACTGCTCATACAAACTGCTAACTGTAATATGTTACTAGTATTTGTTAAGGGAGGTGCTAAATCCACACCTAAAATGGCTATATACCTTTTCACTTAAATTTGCTAAATCCACACTCATTAATATAAGTTTGACATTAGTAGGTTTAGCAAAATTATGTGAAAGGTGTGGATATAACTATTTTGGGTGTGGATTTAGTCTCTTATCTTTTTGACAAATTGGGCATATGTACTTCTTTGCACAAGAAGCTGCTTCTAAGGTGCATTTTCAACTGTTCCACTGTTGATTGTTCCCCTGCTTTCCCTTTTTCCATTCTCCCCGTGGGTTAAGGTTGACTTCCCCAATCCCCATTAGGTATTTGACCAGAAAAAAAAAGAAATCAGAAATGAGGAGAGGTTAAAAAAATACATACTGCAAATTTAAATGAATACAGAGTACTGCCAGTTTGAGAAGGATATGAAGAGCTATGTGCCAGTTCAATTCCATTAGGTATTCAGGCTCTGTTCTTCTTTGTTGTAATTCTAAAATTAGATGTTGGAAGAAACTGAAAGAATTGAAAGAAACCGGAAGGAGTTGGAAGAAACTGGAAGAAGTTGGAAAATGTTGGGAAAAAAAATAAACCTTAAAAAAATCACTTAAAAAATCACTCAATTAGATGATCACCCAAATAAATATGTAAGAAACTGATTTTGGATATAAAAAAATCATCTTTGTCTGTGTTTGAAGTGATGTGTTATAAATTTGGATATATAATGTTATTGTATAGTCACCATATTTAAATACATATTTCAGATCATTGTTGAAAGAAATTAGGAGTTAGAAAAAACTAGAGTCAGAAAAAGTTAAAAGTTAATTTTTTTAACCGAAAAGAACAGAGCCTGACCGAGGAAGTATTTTATTTATTGCTGTGTAGTTATACATGGCTACATGCACCCAACTTTTATCTCAACTCGGTCTCCTGTGTTCCAATTATTCATTCCTTATGCTTCTATTTTCACTTTAAACACACTTTTCTCCAAATTTTCCTTTTTAAGTGCATGTGCAAGGTTAACAAATAGACATTGTCACACAGTACACTGATTTGTATCTCGCAGCTTCATTTTTTCATCCATTCGCGCTCAAAAATTCATCCCCTCTATATCTTGTGTGGAGATTCCATTTGGACAGTTGGTTGGTGAAGTAACTTCGCCAAATAAGGGCTATAAGGCCAGAGAAGACAATTGACTTTTTGTACTCAAAATGACAAACTTTAACCATTAATTAAACACAATTGATAAGAAAAATTGATACAAAAAAAATGTATTAAATTTATCATTTATAATATTTTCAAAATATTATTTTATACCATTGATCTACCATAGTATAATTTTTATTTAGATATAGAATCTAAAAAATCAAAACTTTGACAACGGGAGGGACAGAGGGAGTAGTTAGTAAAGGCGGGCATTACCGTGCTGCCCCATCGATCACGGGCATCGAAATTGGCCTTTCGGCTGAGCAGGAGCTTCACAACCTCAACATGCCCCTCGCAAGCGGCAATATGCAGAGCGGTTCGGCCATCCAAATCGATGCTATTGACATCAATCCCTTCATCCAGCAAATCCTTGACACCCTCGACGTCGCCCTGGCAAGACATGAAGAGGAGCTGCATAGTGGAGTCGAGGTTCTCCGGCACCGTCAGCAATTCCGCCTCATCAGACGGACATCGCCGAATCGGATCTAGCGAAGACTGCCTGCCGAAGCTGAAACGCAACGTATTGCGGCGTGGATCGAGCGAATTTTGGCGCCGGAAGCTGAACCTGCCGCTCCTCTGCACCGACCCCGTCGAGAATTGCCTTGATATGCCCCGCTTCAACTGCGCTGCCACGTCCATTTTGTTAGCGCAGTTCATTTCCCTCGCAATTGAATCATCGGAGACGATCGACACCAAATACAAAGCTCAAATCGTAAGCTCGATCGAGAGCGCGATGAGGAGATAGCTCTCGACGGCGAGCAATGAGAGGGAAAGATATGAATTTGGTGAGGGAATGAAGATGTAATGTATTCTTCCACAGAGTCGCCCGGAAAAGGCGTTACAGCTAGAATGCGAGATAAAAGTGTGCTTCCTCATCCTTAATTCCCCCTACAATTATTTTTGGTTTTGAACCGTTGCTTTTCCTATTTTTTTAAAGATTAATCCCTCTAACGTTATCATTTCTCTTTTTTCACCTCTCCAAAACATCTTCAATATTATCGTCATCTCATCCTGCCTCTTTATTTCTTATATATTGTTCATCATTTTTCATTTAAATTTTTATAAAAAAATACATGTAATTAAAATAAAAATGATGATAAGGACACTCTTTATTCAAAAACAAATGAGAAAGATGAATACAAATTTAAAAGGATTAGATTGAATGAGGGATAAATTAGAAATAATGAAATAATGAATTTATAGAGCTGAAATTCAAAAATATGAATCGGCACAACGGCCACACTGCAATGGACGGTCGCAGAGAAGCACCCTCGCGCCGTAGGACTAGTGTGCACCGCAGCATCCGGCGGGACTGGATGTCTGCAATCTTCGCTCGCCGCTCGCGTGCCACGATTTTCAACGCAGGAGGATCATACCCTCCAACTACAAATGCTCTAAGGGCCGCTAAACTTCTCCTAGTTGTCAAATACTTTGTACTCATCACCGCTATGATTCTCCCATATGAGAGATCTTGTTTTGGCTCCTCGGTAAGGCATTAACTCTAAGAGCTTCAATAAGTTCTTCAAGGCTTGAGTGGTAGAACGTTCAAGAGAAGTTTATCTATGTTTGAGGTCTAGGGGAGAAAAAGGCATTAGCTCATTGTGCGTCATTGAATTGAAAAAAGTTTGAACAGATACTATATTGTAATTAAGTCAATAGAATTATAAAAAAACTAAGAGATTCTATTGTTTTTGTTAGCTTATTCTTGCGGAGTATTACTTATTATTATTTATTTTAATTAGAATCATATTAGACTAGACTAGATTAAATAAAATCAGATAAGAAAAAACTTTTAATATAACAACAATTACATGAGATCATCTAACATAAATAAAAACAAATTAGAGAAGTGTACAAAGCCACAAACTCTACATGGTCTGTTTGGAATAAGAAAAATGATTTTTGGAAATCAGTTTTTTTTGTGTTTGGTAAGTTAGAAAAATGAAAGTCAATATCTAGCTCAAAGGAAAATGAGTGTTATTTTTCCGAAATTGACTTCAACATTTGAGATCAGATGTCATTTTCCAATCATTCGTCGTTATCGTCTTCGTTCATCTTCTACCATGACTTCTTTTTTGACGTCCATCATCATCATCTACCTCCCTCTTTTTTTCTTCTTCATGTTCCCCGTCGTCACTAGTATGTCATCGCCGTCCTCCATGTTGGGAAAAGGTAAATATCTTTTTTCCTTGAATTTAAGAGTTCATTCATCGTCATTATAGTAGATATCACCCATCCATGGGTAAGTGATCCCGGGATTCCAGAACCATGTCACCCAACGATGGGAGATATTACCCATCCAGGGGTAAGTGATCCCGGATTCCAGAACCATGCCACCCAGCGATGGGAGATATTACCCATCCATGGGTAAGTGACTTCCCAGCGATGGGAGGATATTACCCATCCATGGGAAGGCATGTCCGTTGTAAGGCATATAAGGTTGATCCTTTCTGTAACGCCCCGAAAATAGGCCTATCAGAATTAATTAATTGATAATTAATTAATTACTGAGAAGGACCCCAAAAAAAATAAGTGAATTATAAAGTTTGTCAATAATTAATGAAAATTATATTGTTGTATAGAGTTTGACTGTCTGACCCCAACGGTTCAATCAGATTTCAATTTGGAGAAAGTTGGACCAAAAAGTGTACCCCGACTGGGACTGAAATTAGTCCCAATCAGGGACTTGCGTTTGAAATCCTAAACAATCGCCGTTCACTCCACTCGCTATCAATTTGGTGAAAGGTCGCCGGAGTTGAGAGCTTTTGTTGCCGGAAGTTTCGCCGTCTTTTCGCCGGAATCATCATTTAACATTAAGGTAAGCCCGTAGATATATCTAATGACTAGAATGTTCATATAGGTCGTTTCTACGTTCATAGATGGTCATTTGGTTGAGTTTTGTGTTTGACATGCTTGAAAAACCAAGAATCATAAACCTTGAAATTGTTGTTAAAACTTTGAATTAATGGTATTTTAATGTTCTATGAACATTGAGGAACATTTCTATGTAGTTTTATTGAAGTTTGGTGACTTAAAATGATGTTTCGAAAATTGGAACCGAGGTTGAAGACGAAGTACTGTTGCTGTAAGGCAGCAACGGTCGACCGTACCGTCACCACGGTCGACCGTTACCAGACCAGTGGCTTCAGTACAACGGAGGCAATGACGGTCGACCGTCACTTGAAACGGTCGACCGTTCTGAAGACAGTCAACTACGAAAAATGCTATTTTTGAATTCTAAAATCCTATTTTTGATACCAATTGATTATGATCATTATAAAAATTATTTTTCACAATAAAAATGATGCTTTTAATAAATTAAAATCTTATGTGATGCATGACGGTAAGTTTGGGTGTTAACACTCGAGACTAGGCCGCTAATTGTTATTAAATGTTATGTTGAATGATCATTATGGTGAACTATTATTGTAGCCAATTATGAATGATTAACTTACTGATTAGTATGATTATTGATTAAATCATGATTAAAAATGGATATAATGATGATTACGAAAATGATGTATATTGTTAAGGATATCTAGAAGAACTGTAAGATATACCCACTTGTATAATTATGATGATTATTAAGGATATCTAGAAAAACTCTAAGATATACCTCCTTGACCAATTCATATTTCGGGGTTAAAATATGTACGGGATCCAGACCGGATATCACCCACTCGACAGTTCACTGTTCGGTTGGTACGTAATCCACATGACTCATAGGGTGGATTATCGATTCTTGTGTTCTGCATTAAACTATTTATAGTTTAAGGGCCTGGTTAGAAATGTTGCCTTAGACTAGGAATAGCTAAGAGTTGTTATAAAATGATTTGGCCTTAGATTAAGAATAATTTAAGAGCATTGTTGAGATATTGAATATCAAATGACTTGGAATAAAATATTGAGAATATCATGAATGTTTGAATTATATATTGTGTGCATGATATCAAATGGTTGATTATGAATCGAGATTCAATTTATGTGAATGTTCGACGCTTTAGATATGCTTACTCAGCTTCACCGCTGAGCGTGTAGTGTGTTTTATTTGCTACACGCAGGTAGGCAGAATGAATGATTGACTGATTCCTGGCAGCAGAAGGGGTGAGACAATCGTGGTAGATTATTGAATGAAATAAATAATTATGTTGTTATGAGACATATTTTAAAGTCGCTTCCGCATTTTATTTAAACACTCCGTATTTCTCTACAATTATGTATGGAATATTATTTATAAATAAAAATGTTTGAAATGTTTTAAATTATCACAATTACCAAAGCAATACTTTAGTCCGAAAGGGGCTGCAGACCTGGACGGATTAGGGTGTTACACTTTCCTTGTTTGAAAGTCAACCTCCCACCCAGCGATGGGAAGTGTTTACCCATCAATGGGTAGGTGACCGTTGCCTTCAAAACTAAATGAAAATTGGCTTACCAGCGATGGGTAGCTCCATACATCGTTGGGAAAGCCAAAGTCCTACAGATCCATATTTTAATATCAATCCCACAAATCATGCCAATCACCCCTTTAATGCCTTGATCCGTTGGAGCCTATTTTGGCACTATAAAAAGGGTGTTTGGGTCTGCATTACACAAGGAATTTACTTCACATTACAGACATTATCATTGCATTCATACAACATCTGTTTCCATAGTTGTTTAGAGCCAAATTGTGTGAAGTTTGAGTTGTTCTTGAGCGTACATATTTTACTCAATATCCACTATAAAAGAGAGTATTTGTTCTTGAGTGTTTTAGTGTTGTATACACGTTAAGGAAAGCTTGTTTTCCTTGGTTATACAAAGGAAAGGTATTTTTCCTTCGGGTTGAAGTCTTAGACTGCGGTATCTCCGAGCAAGTGTATTGTGGCTCGTGGGACTCGAGTTCTCAGGTTGTAACGGTTTGTTTAGCACCCGTAAGCTTAACGGAAGTAGTGTAGCTCGAGAGAGTCTCACGAGAATGTTTATAAATTTTCACCACACGTTGTGGTGAACCAGTATAAATCTTGGTGTGCTCCCTTTATTCCTTTTTATTCCGCTCTTTACTTTATCCCTATGATTTTTATTCTGTGAAAATTTATAAACATTCTCGTGCCTTACTATTCACCCCCCTCTAGTGAAGGGCACTTATTCTAACAATTGGTATCAGAGCCTAACTCGCGTCCAAACTTAACCGTTTGAGAGAAAAGCGATCATGGGTTCTTCTTCTAGAAATCTTTATGCAGAGATTGGAGAAGGTCAATCAACCTCTAGGCCACCGCTCTTCGATGGCACTAACTGCACGTATTGGAAGTAGCAGATGAGAATCTATATCCGCTCAACCAACTTCCCATTGTGGTTAGTGGTCATCAAGGATGGCGAAGAAACAGAAATGAAAAAGGTTGGGGAGAAACTCGTCCCAAAAACCGAGGACGAATTTGATGCCGAAGACATAAAAAAGGTAGAGAACTACGCAAAGGCCATTAACAGGCTCTACTGTGCGGTCAATCCCGATGACTATCGTAAAATCTCTTGCTACACAACCGCCAAGGAGATGTGGGATAAGCTCGAGGTAACATAAGAAGGCACGGACCAAGTTCGGGAAGCCAAAATTGACTTCCTCACGCAGGAGTACGAGTTGCTCAGGATGAAAGAAGGCGAGAAAATCGACGACATGTTCGATTGTTTCTCGAAGATCATCAATGATCTTCACTCCCTCAAGAAGACGTATGCCAACAAGGACATCGTGAGGAAAATCCTGCGAAGCCTCATCCCTGAATGGAGATCAAAGGTCGATGCCATCTATGAATCCATTGAGTATCCAACGTCACCATCGACGGTTTA